ATTTCCCGACAAGAAAGGGACTATTGTCAAGCTGAGGCCAAAATAGAAGTTTTGCTCTGTGTGGTTTAATGGGAACATGAGGACACTTCCCAGAATAAGATCTTCCAGTGACTCGGTGAGTGCTGGGGCTGTTGCTAAGACTGCAGCATGTTCGCTGCCGCAGTTTGCTGCCTTTTGGGAAAGATACGAGAGACTGTACAAGATATGTCAGTAAAAGGTAGCTTCAGAGCTTTTCAATGCCTTTTACAAGAGCTGGCTGGATGCAGAAGAGTGAGAGCCACCTCACAAGCTTTTGGTTTCAAGCCACCCTGTCTAGCATGCAACTGCTAGGGTGATAATACGGTTTATAGAAATACTCCCGAACAGATAGGCTGGGAGTGGAGAGCAGCCGCTTGGCACACAGTTGACCATAGTCAAAATCTCTATGTCCCAGCACGGTTGTAGCCGCTGGCTCCCGCTGAGGCTGGCAGGGCAATCCAGGCTCGACCACCCCTTGCCAAGGGAAGGAGCGTCCCGACAGCAGTGGTGGGACTGTATTGCTGTGGTCTGCACTGCAAGACCTGGCAACAGAGAGCTCCCGCTACCAGATCAGCCCAGAAAGGCCCAGATTTTGCTTCAACACTGTATATGGCACATGAGCAGTGCATATGTATGGGACCTGCATTTTCTACTTCTCTATATATCTTTATAGCAAATAGACATTGCAGCGATGGAGCATTCAGCTACACTGCTGCCTTCCACAGACCCGCTTCTCAGGTTTGAGGGAGAATTGCTTTTGCCATATTTTTGATGCATCTGAGGTTCATTTCCCGACAACCTGAATGAACAAAACTGTGCTAATAGCTGAACCCTACAGCAAAATGCAACCAACTCCTCAGCTTAAGTGATCCTAAGTACAATTTCAGTCAGAATTTAATTTCCCTCTACTAAGAAGTTTATTGCTCCTGGGAGATGAGGGCAGGCTCTGCGCTTTTCCATCCCATGCAGAGACTGAACACATCCCAGTCCTGCTTGGAAGGGTCCATGTTAAAGGGCTGTCTTGGGGGTAAGGTTGGTGGGAGTCTTTCCATCAAATTCAGCAGTCCTAGGCAGCAGGATTGCTGCAAAATACATCCTGGGAAAGTGAAATACCACACCTCTGCAGGTCCTCACTGAGACACAGACACTCCTCACTCAGCTCCTGTCTCAGCTCTCCCTGCAGGGCTGGGGAGAATAAATCCCCAAACTTTTATACACTTAGCTCTGCTCTCTGGCAGGTGTCCCTTCCAGCCGGGAGGTTTCTGTATGGCCAAAATGTCTCCTTTAAAGCTAACAGATTCATACTGCTCACGTGCTTTCTCCTGAGACTGAAACATCTTTGGCTTTTTGACTGTGGTAACTCTCTGCCTTGTTTTACTGTTCAGGAACCCACGATGTTTGTGAAGAGTGAGCTGAACTCTGCACCCGAATGACAGCACCAGGGGGAGCATATCCTAATAAGGCTGAAAAGTAAGCTCATTCCGGTCCTTTCTGAGACCAAAAGAAATGTAGTCTGGAAAAGAACCAGTGATTCATCTGCTTTTAAGCCATAACTGCCCCTGCTTTTTGGCTGGTTGTTATGGAAATGCCAGCGGTGCCAGCAAGCGCTCGCCCAGCTCCCACTCGAGCAAGCTCCCAACACCTCACTGCAGACCGCAGAAGACCACAAAGTGCTGTCACCCAAAGAGTGCTCCCTGCTACGTGTCCTACAGCCCTGGGAAAAACCTGTCTTTGTCCTGGGAGGGGAAACCGGCTGGAACCAACACCATGAGGATTTATTACCCCCATCTCACTAAATGCCTTCAGTGCTTCCCGAGGACGCTGCATCCAGAGCACAAGCTGGGACAGGCAGCCCTGCCCTCAGCTTGCTCTGATTGAAATTTGCCTTTTAAAGCCAACCGTCCATACAGACTGCGTTCTCCTGGGTGCAACTTCAGCAGAGTTGTGTCGACACAGGATGTCTCCTCTGGATAAAACCTAATGGCCCATCCCAAACTCATTCTCATATCTCCATCATGGGGAAAGAAATCTCCAGCGTTGTCTGCATGCATGGCTGAAACCTGTCTCCGTGCCTTTCCTCACTCTACCTTGCTGAGGCGAGTAACTATAGCACACTTGAGGTTCTCTGAACTTACTTCTGGTGCTCGTGTGAAAAAAGAACCTAATCAGCACTGAGGAGAGTTTGGGACATTTGTCCCTAACTGGAGTAGTCCTGAATTACGGTCCAAAAAAACCAGCTGCACCCAAAAAAGCCAGAGCTTTGCTATAGCCTCAAAGGGCATCCCTCAGGGAAGCACCAGCTCACGGACAACAATTTTTCCAACAAGTGTTTTGCAACAACTCTGTTGTACATAGCGTGTGCACACAACAGCTGTAAAGGAGCTATGGATAGAAGCAAGACAAGGGTTTGTAGACAGACAGGCATGTTTTACTGGGACAGTTGATGTTTAGCTGAAAATCACTTTTGAGCACGTAAGCCAGTGTTATTGCTGGATGGCGAAGGATATCTGCTGTACATCCCAGACTACGTCCTGGGTCCCTATGCCAAAGTTAAGGGGCAGCTTATCTTCCACCTCCACAGGCCAAGCCCAGTGTAACTCCTAGAGCAAACCCACTGCGAGCATCCTTCTCGCTCCGGACAAGGTGATGGGCATCTTGCATCCCCGCAGAGCCCTTCCAACCCATCCCCTCTCGCAGCACTGTGTCCAGCCCCTGCCCCTGTCCTGGAGGCCACAGATGCTTCTCCCCAGCCAGTGTCACCCCTCCTTGTCCAAGCACCATCATCCTAAGCTGCAGCATCCTTTTTTAGGAATCCCACTCCCTCTAGTGGTCCCTCTCCGGCAGGTGAAATAAGTGGTTGGAGGAGGCTGGTGTTTGTACCTGTGGCCCTTTCTTCTATAGGTGATAAGTACAGCAAAACTCACGCCTTGCCTTGTCCTGCTCTGGACTTATGTGTTTTAGAGGCACCAGTGAGGAAACAGCAGCATCTTCCTACTCTGAAAAGCAAGCAGTGCAGCACTGGGGCTGCATAGGAGCACATCCACAACAAAACACCCCCAGCCGTCGGGGCTCTTTAGAGTCAAGGCAGAAAAATGGGCACCTCTGGGGTAGCCCCTTTTGGACATCTCTCAGGGAATGCTGGACACGGTGCCTGGAAGAGCTGGTTCCCCTATAAAGAGAGGCCAGAGGAGGAGCGCCAACGTGGGTGCCTGTATCCTGATCAGAGGGACCACCTGAGCTACACACAACCAACGCCAACATATCCTCCAGGAGCCAAACCACCCTCTCACACCACTGGTCTGTGATGGGAATCTGGCAGATGCTTGTGCACCATCACCCTAACAAACTCAAAGGTGTTTGTGGGGTTGGAGTCCTGCTTCGCCGCATCACTGGGACACAACCTGCTGCCTGCAGGGTCCTGTGAAGCTCTCGCTGCACATGTGAATCCTGTCAGACAGCAACACTATTGCTGTTTTGGACCAAACTTGCAACTGTGATTTCTAATGGTGTCTTTAGTGGTTTAGTCGTGGTAATTGCATTTTAAAGAAGCTGCACGCTCACTTCAATCTTTCCCGCTGGTAGCACATGCATGACTTTCACAGCTTCTTCATCACTCTGTCAGATTGGAGACCACCAGCATTTGTTATTAGAGCAGTTTCTGATGCTGTGTCCTCACTTCTGATGCTCGTGACCAGACCCTTTACCAAAGGCACCCATGGAAATTCCTGGTGACATTTTCAAGGGCTGTAAGCAATTCTCAGGGGAGCATGAGAGGTTGATGGCATTACCTGTCAGGCTGCCCTTTCCTTTCCACCCTGGCCATGGATGATTAATGAGCAAGGAAACCCGCTTATGAGCTCCTCAGCCAGCATCAGCTATTGCAAAGCAGTGTCCAGTGGTACGAGTTGAGATCCATCTGTGTTTCTTCTTTCTGCAAGTTTCCTCTGGTTTTGAGGGCAGTGATGCCATGGCTATCAGAAAATCAGAGAGGAAACCTTTCTTCTGGTGAAGATGACACAGGACACCGGTGTCCAGGCTGCTCCCTTTTAGGGCTTGTACCTGCCTATTGCACGGGGCTTTTTGCTGTTGATTCCCTTGGAGGTGAACCTCGCCTGGAGAAGACCACTCAGGTCCCTTCTGTGCCTCTCCCCCACCTTTGCTAAAGCCAAGTTGGTGGGGTGTCCCATGGATCTGGTTGCTGGGGGTGCTATGGGGGGCCATAGGCCCCCTGGACATTGCCCTGCCCCTTCACATGGGCACATGCACCTCTGTCTCTATCGCCCACATGTCCCACTGTGGGGCCCTACTGGCCATGGGAATCCTCTCGTCTGCGCTTACTTTTAAGCCCCTTCTCCTATCCAGCATCTCCGTCTGCCAGCTCTGCTGGCATGAACCTTCTTTCTCACATTAAAATCCCTTTCTTAATGATATGCCCATTCCCCAGCTCTCGGCCCACGCTTCCCCTCTGCTCTGCCCCCACCAACCCTCTGGGGTCCTGCACGCTGCAGCATCTCGCCGAAAATATCATTCCTGTGGCCCTGGTTGCTCCTGCTCAGGGAGGCAAGTTGAAGGCAGAATCCAGTGATAACCCTTTGGGGTCTCTGGAGGCCTCTTTCCTCCCTGCGTGTTGGGTTGTTGGTTTTTCCCTTATAACTAGATACAGAATCATGACTCACAGCAGCTTCTGCTCCTCAATCCATTGCACCGCCAGCAAAAACCTCCGGCTGGATTTCAGTGCTAAGGTAGATGCTCTGACAGGATCTGGGTTTGTTACGCTCAAAGTGCTCCTGCACACACTGCCCAAAACTCTCATCAGAATAGCTGTGGTTTTACTTCACTTTGGTGCATAGATAACTTATTTCTACACCGAGCATCCAGTAGATAAACCCCTCAGCAATGTATCAAATAGTGAAAGTTGAACTCCCAGATCCTGGTTTTTCCCTCTCTGATTTTTATGGACAGTCATATATATTTCCCTCTGATTATGTATAAAATGAAGCAATCATGCCCTATGCCATATCCAACTTGTGAAAGATGTTTATGGAAAAACCTGGATTGCAGCCACCTCTGGGGTGCAGCACTGCATCCATTTGATGGCCACCAACCCATGTCTCAGCCACTTAGCCCACACGCCACCAGCGGCAGAGCTGGGCTTTCTTCCTCCATCACTCTCAACACAGCCTGCTTTAAAGAGCTGCTGGTGTGAAATCAGAAGGAAGCATTCAACAAAACATAGCTGGAAGCCCTGGGAAACTGCTTTACCATTTCAAAACTCAGTGCCATCTTTATTCCTAATGATGCCAGCTCTGCAATGTCAGGCCAGCCAGGGGAAGTCTTTCCATGCTAAGATATTTTGGGAGGTAATGACGATCTCGAGAAAACTCCTGGTATAGCAGAAAAGAGAGCACAAGATGTTTCCAGGGGCTGGAGCGCCCATCATCCAGCCCCATCAGGACTAATGGCCTCAGCCACTTGTCCTAATGATGCTGGAGCACGCTGTGTGCAGCACGGCCACTCCACGGCACAGCACTGTGGGGGGAGCGGCACAGCCCCTGCAGCGACTGTTTTGGAAGGAGAGGTGCATCGACCTGCACCTTTAGGTACTGCCTTGTAGTATCTAGAGACCTCGCTGCCAAACAGCCTGCTCGAGGCTCCCCCAGCAGCCAGTGTCCCTGGGAGAGCGAGAAAGTACTTTTGCAGAAATCAGGACTTGCTTTAAATATTTCTGTGCTGCAGCAAAAGGGAGAAAAAGGTGAACTGGAAAAACTTAGAAGTTCATGAAGAAATACACATTCTCTGGGCTGTTCGTTTCCCCTCTGCAACTCTGAATCGTCTGTCCTGGGGGATGGAGGTTCCTGTGCAAGTCAGGCAATGAGATACTGAGTTGGAAACATGAAGACTTTAGGACAGGCTGAAGCCTATTTCAGGCTGTCTGGAAATCACAGCAGAACTGGTGATTTCAGTGATTTAAGCCAGACTCCCAGATTCAGCCCTTTCCTTTAAAATAGCCCATGGCTCTGCCTATGCGAACTTTGAAACCGGAATGGGACGGTCTCCTGCAAACGGCCAGGTAGGAGGCAACGGAGTCCCATGTCCAGACGCTGACCCATCCAAGGAGATGGGGCAAGAAACAGTAATTGTCCATGTGGACAGAGAAAGAGGAGGAACGAGGGCAGGAGGTGGCAGAAGGAGCTGGGGAGCGAGCAGGCAGCTGAATGACAGAGGAGTCACCAAGAGGGAAGACACACCACTGGGACACCAAGGCACCTTCTCCAGCTGCAGGGACCGAGGGGCTGCAGCCACAGCTGGGCTCACAGGGCAGGGGGTCATGCCAGCTGTCCCCTCCCTGTGCTCCCCTAAATCTGAGGTCACCTGCCCAGGACCCTGCCTGGGAGGCGAGTTCCACTGGCACAATGTGACCCAGCACTCCTCTCCTCAGGGAGGCAATCACTGATTAATTATCCAGCAAACACCCCTGCACTCCTGCCTCTCCCAAGTGATGCTGGAGCCCTGTCCTGCTCCACCGAGCTCAGCCAAAGCAAGGGGAGCCCATCTGTGCTGCCAGGCCCCAGCTGGGCTTGGGAGGGACCCTCCGTGCAGCAAACCGACTCACCCAGCTCCCCCTACAAAGGGAAGCAAAATATTGGGGCACCCCATCCCTTGCCAGAATGCCCCTTAAAGCACTGAGCCCATGACAGCGCTGCCTGCAGCCCAGCGTGCCCCAGCCCGGCGGGGAGCCCCTACCTGCTTGCGGGAGCTCAGGGCCCCCTTGTTGCCCCGGCAGGAGAGCTTGAGGGAGCCGCCCTGGTGCGTGGAGCCCAGGCAGGAGCTGGTGCGTGGAGCCCAGGCAGGAGCGCTGCGGGGTGGCGGGCAGGGGGCTCATGAAGAGGATGCGGGCAATGAGGCCGTAGAGGACAGTTGCCAGCCCCAACGGGATGATGTAGAAGACAGCAAAATCCAAGAAGTAAATGGGCATGTAAAGGCTTCTGGAGACCCGGTAGCCACAGCTGACCTGTGCCCCATCCAAGAAGGTGACCTGTGTCGTGTCCACCAGGAAGAACCACATGACGCAATAGAGGGACGTGAAGAGCCATAGCGAGGAGATGATGCGCTTGGCGCGGTAGAAGACAGAAAAATCCAAAAAGTAAATAGGCATGTAAAGGCTTCTGGGGACCCGGTAGCCACAGCTGACCTGTGCCCCATCCAAGAAGGTGACCTGTGTCGTGTCCACCAGGAAGAACCACATGACGCAATAGAGGGACGTGAAGAGCCATAGCGAGGAGATGATGCGCTTGGCGCGGGACACGGTGCACAGGAGCTGCGCTTTGATGGCGTGGCAGATCGCGATGTAACGCTCCACCGTGAAGGCGGTGATGGACCAGGCAGAGACGTTGATACCCAAGTACTGCAAATAGGTGATGCAGAGGCAG